TTAATTTTTATAATTTTTGGACTTTTATGAATTAAATTTTTTATATTTTTCAGGCAGTCACGAAAAAATGTAAAATTTTGATATTCTATTCGTATCGAAAATCTAAAGTGATTGGTGCGATTCGGGAAATTTTTGAGGTGTTTTTATGTCTTTTTCTTGATTTTTATATTTTTCAGACACTCTCAATAAAATGTAAAATTTTGATATTTTATTTGTATCGATATTCTAAGGTGACTGGTGCGATTCGGGAAATTTTTGAGGTGTTTTTATGTATTTTTCTTGATTTATATATTTTTTTGGACGTTTGCGAATTAATTTTGTTGATGTTTTTTGGCCAGTAACCAAAAAATGTAAAATTTCAATTTTTTTCGTATCGATATTCTAAGGTGACTGGTGTGATTCAGGAATATTTTTAGGTGTTTTTATATTTTTTTCTTGATTTTTATATTTTTCTGATGTTTACGAATTAAACTTTTTGATATTTTTTGGGCAGTTAATGAAAAATGTAAAATTTTGATATTTTATTCGTATCGATATTCTAAGATGACTGGTGCGATTCAGGAATATTTTGAGGTCATTTTATGTCTTTTTCTGGATTTTTATATATTTTGGAAGTCTAAGAATTAAAAATTTTGATATTTTACAGGCAGTCACAAAAAAATGTAAAATTTTGATATTTTATTCGTATAGATATTCAAAGTGACTGGTGCGATTCGAGAATTTTTTGAGCTGTTTTTATGTCTTTTTCTTGATTATTATACTTTTCTACGTTTACGAATTAATATTTTTGATATTTTTCGGGCAATCACAAAAAAATGTAAGATTTTGATACTTTATTCATATCGATATTCTAAGGGGATTGGTGCGATTCAGGAATTTTTTGAGGTGTTTTTATGTCTTTTTCTTGATTTTTATATTTTTCCGACGTTTACGAATTAATTTTTTTGATTTTTTTAGGCAATCACGAAAAAATGCAAAATTTTGATCTTTATTCGTATCGATATTCTAAGGTGACTGGTGTGATTCGGGAATTTTTTGAGGTGTTTTTATGTCTTTTTCTTGATTCGTATATTTTTCACACGTTTACGAATTAAAACTTTTCATATTTTTTGGGCAGTCACGAAAAATTGTAAGTTTTTGAGATTTTATTCGTATCGATATTCTAAGTTGAGTGGTGCAATTCGAGAATTTTTTGAGGTATTTTTATGTCTGTTTCTTAATTTTTATATTTTTCGGACGTTTTGAATTAAAATTTTTGATATTTTTTGAGATGTCACGAAAAATGTAAAATTTTGATATTTTATTCATATCGATATTCTAAGGTGACTGGTGCCACTCAGAAATTTTTTGAGGTGTTTTTATGTCTTTTCCTTGACTTTTATATTTTACGGACGTTTACGAATTAAAATTTTTGATATTTTTTTGAACAGTCACAAAAAAATGTAAAATTTTGATATTTTATTTATATCGATATTCTAAGGTGAGTGGTGCGATTTGGGATTTTTTTGAGGTGTTTTTATGTCTTTTTCTTATTTTTAAATTTTTCGGACGTTTACTAATTAAAATTTTTAATATTTTTCGGGCATTCACAAAAAAATGTATTTTTTTAATATTTTATTTGTATCGATATTCTATGGTGACTGGTGCATTTCGAGAATTTTTGAGGTGTTTTTATGTATTTTTCTTGATTTTTATTTCTTTCAGACGTTTACGAATTAGTATTTTTGATATTTTTTGAGCAGTCATGAAATAAATGTAAAATTATGATATTCTATTTGTATCGATATTCTGAGGTGACTGGTGCGATTCGAGAGTTTTTTGAGATGTCTTTATGTCTTTTTCTTTATTTTTATATTTTTCGGCACCCGATGCCCTATAGTCCCGAGAGAACCAACATGTAACCTGTTCTTACTATGCATATAAAAATGACAATCTTGTGACAAGTTCACATAGGATGCAGTGATACGAACCAATATAAGTAGACCAAAAACTTATATACAAGACATGGCCGTCGAGGCCACAACTTGTTAAGACGCAATTGAACCATATACAGAAGTCTACAAAGCCTCTAAAAGATAGAAAACCTTAGAGTAGGTCCGGACAGACCCCGCCTTACCCTTAACTATGATACAATACCAAAATGAATCCACCAAGGACTCAGTAAAGCTCTGAATCAACCTGGAGCTCACCAAAAGTAGCTGAGTGTCATGTGCTCCTATTGAGGAGGTCTACTAGCTGGAGTACATGTGCCTGCAACATGAAATGCAGTGTCCCCCGCAAGGGACGTTAGTACGAAAAAATGTACTGAATATGTAAGGCAATAACATATATAAAATAAGAGTTCGAATGAAACCAAGTATCAATATATGTGTGCATAAATCAGAAAAGAAGACCACCTTTGTTAACTCTTGTGGGATCATGTTTGTTACATTCTTGTCTTTACATTTTTGTGTGTTATGATCTTTATAAAGCATGTGATACGAATGACCAGCTGATCAGTGGTAGAAGAGGATGACCCATGCTAGGCATTTTAACCCCTGGGATGCGGTCCTCATAATTACACAAATTGGGATCGGCCCATGTTAGGCTTTCGCCCTTGAGCTGCCACCCTTCTATACAAATTGGGATCGGCCCATGCTAGGCTTTCGCCCCTGAGGTTCCACCCTTATATACCAATTGGGATCGACCCATGCTAGGCATTTGCCCCTGGGCTGCCACCCATAATTATACAAATTGCTTCACTTAGATTCTTTAATCTTTGAGATTGTTGTTTTGGTGGTCATAATCATTTTTGAGATTTGGAAAGATGGACCAGTAGTAGAAGACATGCAAATGATACTTCAAGGCCGTAACAATGAAATAAGGGGCTATGTAACATCAATGCATTACTTGTGAGCTTAAATGACACAATTGTCTTCAACTGACTAAGATGAAGATTCATCAAACTTGCTTTTGCAAATACCATTTCTATATCAGCACAAAGGAGGATAATTACTCTAGTATAGAGTACGTGACATATAATGAAGTAATTCTATACACTAAGGAGAGGAGGAAATATTGTTAGTTATTCGAAGATTGTACACTACCACTATGTTTCCTTTACTAGGAATAAAACTTAGGAAATTCACTTATTGATATTAATCGCAAGTAT